CACTATCAGTCACAACATACATGGCAGCAAGGATAGCATCGAAATCAAGATCAAAGATAGCAACACCAGACTTAAGCAGATCACCCCAGCGAGGGAGCTCAACGGCGTCAGGAAACTGGGCGCGCCAGGCGTCAGTCAGGCGACCGAAACAGTGCTGCGTCGTGTGTGGCAGCCCGCACGTCTCCCCATGGTGCCCGCCGGTGCGGATAACGTAAGTGCAGGGACCAGCACCCCCAGACCTCCCACGCCCAGCGTACCACTCACGAAGCTGCTGGGGCGACGGGGTCTCACGGGAACGCGGCTGCTGCTGGCGCTGGCTACCACCAAAGCCTCCACACAGTGCGGCTCCACCCCGACCAGCACCACCGCCGCCGCCACCTCCACTGCCGCTGCCGTTGCCTCCACCGCCGCTGCCGCTGCCTCCACCACCTCCACCGCCGCTACCGACGCCCCCACTCCCGCCACCACTCCCACCTCCACCGCGACCCCCTCCGCCTCCTCCACCGCCTCCACCGCCGCCCCCGCCGTCCCCTCCACCACCCTTGCCCCCCTTGCCCTTGCCGCTGCAGCGCCTCCCACTAGGAGCAGACGCAGCCCCGACCTCCTCGGTGCCAACGAGGTCGACAGCAGCAGCAGAAGCAACAGAGGGCAGCAGGGGGGAGGGGGAACACCCCTCAAAGAAAGGGGCGCGAGGGTCGCCGCGAGAAGCACCTACAGCAACTATGCTCTTCTCAGCTGCAGTGAGGCGCTCCTCTAGGAGGTCGATGGTGAGCTCGGTGGGGCAAAGGGAGAGAAAGTGGTCCCTGACTGAGCAGAGAGAGTCAGGGAGATGGGTGACTAGGTAGAAGAGGGTGATGTACATGGGGGGGGGGGTTCTTGGCGCAGAACTCGGAGGGAAGCGCAGCGCGGTAGCGGGCGTCACTAGTGCGGAGGTGAGTAATGAGGTCAGCGACTGTGGCAAAGGCGGCCAAGTCAGGGAACAGGTACGGCAGCATGAGGCAGCTGAGGGCAGCAGTGGCAGGGGAGGAGTAGCGCGCTACGACAGCGTCATACAAAGACTTAGCAGTCTTGTACTGGCCAAAGTGTGCGCGCTCAGCAGACGGCAGGTGACTACGAACAGCAAGGCGAGCAACAGCATCACGAGTAGTCCACTGCGAGCGAACCGTACTGTCAGCAGTGGCAGCAGGTGCAGCAGAGACGCCGGACATGTGATCGAAAAGCGAGACTCCGTCCCTAGAGTCGCACTGAAGAAAGAGCTGCAGGTCATCTACCCAAACGTCGAAGTCAACCGCACGACCCTCAGCATCAAAGGTAAGAACATTAGGGCTAGCCATGGCGGCAGTAGCAGCAGTAGGGCAGGAGCAGCAGAAGCAGCAGTAGCAGCAGTAACAGCTGTAGCAGCAGGAGCAGCGCGGGTAGGGCAGCGCGGCTCAGTAGGGCAGGGCGGCGCGGCTCGGTTGGGCGGAGCGGCTCGGCTGGGCGGCTCGGCTCGGCTGGGCGGCGCGGCTCGACAGGCCGGCAGGCGCGGGTAGTGCGGGTAGGGCAGGTGCTCACCAGGGGCGAGTAGGGCAGGTGCCACCGGCGGCGGGTAGGGCAGGCGCACGACTGGCGCAGGTAGGGCAGGCGCTCGACGGGCGGCTGCAGGCGCTCGACGGGCGGGTAGGGCCGGCGCTCGACGGGCGGGCAGGGCAGGGCCGCGACAGCGGGTAGGTCAGGGCCGCGACTGGCGGGTCGGGCAGGCCCGCGACGGGCGGGTTATGCAGGGCCGCTACAGGCGGGTAGGGCAGGGCCGCGACTGGCAGGAGGGCAGGGCAGGCGCGCGACCGCGGCTGCAGGTAGGGCAGGCGCGCGACGGCGCAAGTAGGGCGGGCGCGCGAACGCGCACGTAGGGCAGGGCCGCGACGGGCGGCTAGGTCAGGGCCGCAACGGGCCGTTAGGGCAGTGCCGCTACGGGTGGCAGTAGGGCAGGGCGCGCGACGGCGCATGTGAGGCAGGCGCGAGGCGCGCTTCGGGCAGGGCAGGAAAGAAAATCGTGGTGGGCCCTAAAAAAAAAAAACGTTCCCACTAGGGAACCTGCTCTGAAACCATGTCAGAAATAGGAAAGAATGATTGACTAGGATGACAGCAGTGCAAGGTTTGTATAGCAAAACCTAATTGGGATGTACCCCATAAGGAGTGCCCCACTATAGCCTAGAGCATATAAATGCATAGTTCTGACAGGGGGGAGGGAGGGGGGGGTAAGTGTAAGATTTTTTTCAACATTCGTTACCGCACATCTCAACATCGCGTACAGGACCGACCATTTCTTCGCCCGTTACTGACAACGGTGTTTCGCCGCCTTCGCGCACCACATTTGCCAAACATTGCATCGCTGGCCTAGCCGAGTCGGCCTACGCTTCGGGACTAGCCCGAACCTCATCGCACTAGCTAGCTCGCACGCACCGAGTTACCGTTTGCATGTTTCTCTTATAAGTATTCGCTCATGCCTTCGCTCATACTTCTACCTTTACCCACTTAGTGCAATCCTCACTACCTCAATACATTGCACCCGTAACAATTGTGTAAGAGTGGGGTTGCGGGAAATCTTACATTTATCTTATAAAGTGTGTGGGTAAAAAAAAAAAACAATTGAATTATCCACCTCCCATAAGATGGGATTTGGTAGTTGGGACAAGAGAGATCTATACGGCACGTCCTGTGCGCATAAAACATATGCACAAGTATAACTGAACCGTCATGCTATGCTGCACCTTATCCCGACCTTATTAACTCCCATCACGTCCAATATGCGTGTTCATATCGAAGTTTGGCGTGGGGAGGTTTTAACAGGACGCAATTTGGAGAGAGACAGCAAGGCACCAATGTGGGCCTCCTGTTCCATCCAGCCAACCAGGGGATTGGAGGAGAAAGTCGCCCCCCACAGCCCAGAAACTGTAGACGAACCACGTATGCTGTACACATGATGCTCAACGCCTGCCTGTTAAAGATCATAGATCTGCACTTTTGTTGTCCCTTCTGGAATTCAGCACCTGCAACTGCACGCAAAGTACATACCAATTATTTGATCGCAGGTGGTGATCGCACAGCTTATCGCGCTCTCATCCGTCCATTCGTCAGATATTTTGAAATGGTTACCAGCAATCTTCAATTCGTCACTACATCCCAGATTTTCCCGTCGCCAAGCTGGCGAGGCAGGCGAAAAGCATGTGCGCGTTTCATACAATTTGTTGAGGAGAAGGTGCGTCTAATGAGCGTGTACTGCATTTCAAGGGTTCGTACGGATAGTAGGGTCAGCTGGGTCCGTTCACGCGAGCTGCCCGCGGGCGAGATGCACCAGGAAGGTGTGCCGTTCGGGAGTCATAAGCCCCGACTTGTTCCCATGGGGGTTTTCTCCCTTTCCCGCAATCAGGTGTTGGAGGTCTCGTGTTCGTGGTCAGGTGTTCCCGCAGGTCAGGTGTTGGTTCCGTGTTTCCGGCCAGGTGGATGGGCCGCACATGCCGTGCCACTTTTCCAGAGGCGTGATGTTCGGGGAAGAGCTGAGCTGGAGGTGGTACAGCACTACCCCACAGTGAATTGAAGCTAAAAATGTAAGAAAAATCGCGGTCGTTTCAGAAACTACTTTTGTGTTTCCCCTTGGTTTGGTCGGACATGAAACAAATCACTTATCTAAAACATGCCCGTGTTGTTTCATTTTTGCACTTTTTTGCGAGTTCGAGTTCGATTTATCACAAAACCATCCTTGAGCTGGATTCGCTCTTGCCCCCCATATTGACGAATTGGTCATTCGTCATTTTCGCCAACAAGCTGTCACGTTAGTTTTTGTTTTAAAATCTACACGAGCTTTTTATTGTGAATCCAATTTGGGATAAAAAGCGAGCATTCACTCTCAGCAATTCAGCCACATTATTGTCGGACCCGATCCCTGGGAGAGCAGCCAGTTCGTCGAGCCTGCCGAATCGTCAGAAGCGGACCAGAAATCTACACCTTGTACCTTTTTCACTCCAATGCTCTAGTCAGTGTATGAAACGCTCCACACTCGCGTAGCCCAGCATGTTTTGTGTGAGAATCATGAGAAACCTATTCGCCCTCAAGAGGAACAGTGTGTTCTGCGTGGAATCATGATTCTAACGATCTGGGTATTTCCCCCTAATTCTTCATCCGTGAGACTGTAGGATATTTTAAGCATAATTCCGAAAAGACAGTTTAGTTGCATCAGGTGTAGACATTGGCCTTTCAATAAGTTATAAGACTGGCCCTCTCAACCAGGTTTGGCAAAGCAAAGTCTTCTTGGATCGCATCGTTTATCAGCCCCACCCCGACCCCCTCCCTCAGCTTTCACGGATTCAACACTCAGCCTGGTAGTACTTCATTGAAGCGACAGTTTAACTAGTAGTAACCCCACGCTGATGGAGGAAACAACACGCACGCGTTGCCAATGGCTGTTTATTTGGCTGGCCGTCACCATCCTTCCCCACTTAATGGTAATTCCTTGATGTAGTTTTACTATACGCTAAGACCACACATAATTTGCGTTTGTATATGTTTTTCTTCGTTCTTTCTCCGCTAATACGGTATTTCCCATGTATACTTACCTCCTTTCTCTGTCTTTGTGACAGGTTGATGCCAGACCCAGCAAGTCCCAGGCTCCTCAATGGACGCACCTAGAGAACTCCAAAAATCTCCAATTCGGACGAAGCGGCAGTCATGGGGCGACCAACTCGTCCGAGAGTCCTAACACCCCGCCACAGGAGTCCGTGGAGAGGCTATACGAGGCTGGATTCGGATCCTGTGGCTTTCCAGAAATCGCCGACGAGAACGAATGCGTGGCTAATCTCGAGGCCTTCCCCGAGCTGCAAGTGCATAGCGGTTCCCCCACCGTGCGCCGCCTGGCGTGCTTGGCGCACACTTATCTGCGTCCGTGGATGGGAATCCCCGGGGCGAAAAAGGGCATGGGGGCGCGGGGAATGATCAGCCCGCGTCTTCTTCATCGTATGGGACGCATGGCCAACGTGAGTACCTCCCACTGAACTCCCTAAGCCAACTTGAGAAGTCCACAATGCCTCGGCCCATCTCCTCACCTCTGGCCTTTGCGTTCAAAAAAAATATTCTCCACAACGCCTCTCTCGTGTTGGACTGACCCAACACGTCCCATTGGATCTCTTCTTTCATCATGGACAGTCAGGTGCTTAACCATATGATGCTTGTATTAATCCCTGCTCGCATTCCCCTCTCTTGCACTGTAACATCCAGGTGCTCTCGTGCTCTGGTCACGTGCGCATAGTCAACGGGGAGATCTTCTTCCGCCTCGGTGGCTTCGAGTTCTTTTGGTATCGCATGCGCCGCTTCGTCTTCTCAATCCTCATGATCAAGGAGGCCATTGCAAAGTACAACCTGCACTCTCTCAACGCCGAGTTCTTCATCAGCACCTGCGACATGCACATGAGCAAATCCTCTTCCATTGCCGATCGTCGCGCCGGCCTCCCCATTTTCAGCCCGCACGGCGCGCCCGGCAGCATCGACATACTCTACCCCGACCTGGTGGATCTGAGCGCGAGCTATTTCCATACCGGGGAGGATGCTGTGCCGTGGGAACAGAAGCAGAGCCGGGCCGTCTTTCGCGGCGGGATGACAAACTTCCGCGTCAACTATGACAAGCAGTGGCGAGCCAGCCCTCGGTTCCGTGTGCATCGGATGTCACAATTGCGGCCAGACATCCTCGACGCGAAGGTTGTTGGGAACCACCTAAGCACGGCTGTGAATGGGGAGCTCCTGAGCAGCTTGCGGGAGGATGGGATTGAGATGGGCGAACGTCTTGATCCGTCGCAGCAGCTGGGATTCAAGTACGAGCTGGATGTGGATGGAGGAACCGGAAGCGGCCGCGTGTGCAAGATCCTGTCAAGCAAGCAGATGATGATCAAGCAGATGAGCGAGTACACGCAGCATTTTGACCCTCTACTGTGTCCTAACAAGCATTTCCTAACCCAATCTGTACCAGCAGATCGAGTGGGCACGGGACCACGATAGGGAAGCCCAGCAAATCGTGAAGCAGGCCAATTAGCTTGCAGGCGAGGTGTGCACGTGGGAGAGCCGTCGCCTCTACTGGGCGATTCTGCTGGTCAAGTATGCAGCCAGCGCTATGGAAGACCCCAGCCAAGTCGTTCGCCCGGACAAGTTCCCGTGCGACGCTCGTCTCATCCAAGATGACGTGGAGAACAATTCGGTTCGCTCCAAAAAGACGCCGGCTGTTTGGCCTCCGAGGTGCCACACACCTGATGAGGACACGAACCAGCCACAGTGCACACATTTCTGTGCAGGGAATATGTTTGAGCCCAAGTGGAAATGGCTCACAACAGACATTCTGGATGATATCCAGGTGTTTAAGCCCAAGAGTATCCAATAGGTATGACAAGAACATGGTGCTCCACTCTGTATCATATGTAACAGTGCGTTGCAGGTTGTCAGTGTTCTCGTGTGCTTGTATCGTTTGTGACTGGGTAAGATGCTTATGCAATCATCCATATCAATCACATATCTGAATGGGGAGGGGACTAGAACCAGGGTGAAGCAGCAGAATGAGGCCATGAGAAAGAAACTGATGGAGAGAGGAATGAGGGGGGGCAAGGAGGATACTAGGAGGAAATGTAAGCTGGGAAGGAAAAGAGGGTGGGAGAGAGATGGGACTTGGAAAATGAGTGATAGGAGGATGATATTTGGTAATGGGGGGGGGGGATCAGTTGGGGCCAAGGATTGGGCAGAGGAAGTGGGGGAGGCAAAGAGGGGGAGAGAAGGGGGGGTAAGAAAGATGTATTCACCAGATAATGCAGCATGGGAGTGGATGCAGATCAGGGTGATTAGTGAGGTGGGCTGCTAAAAACACCATGCATGCCCCATGTTGACCAGGTGCAGGTCCAAGCACCATGCACCATATTGCATGGTGCAAGCTCTAGCATGCCCCACATGGGCTGGTGCAAGCACCCTCCATCGCCCCAATGTTATATATATTTACATACATACGTACATCTATGTTTCTTATTTTTAGGTGCCAACAACACGTTCCTCTTGTTTGGGCTGGTTCAACCACCATGTGTGCCCCATGTGGTTTGATGCCCGTTCCAGTCCTCGTGGGGATGGTTCAGGCACCATGCGTGTCCTATATATGCTTGAGCATGCCCCATATGAGATGGTGCATTCACCATGCATGCCCCATATGAGATGGTGCAAGCATCATGCATGCCCCATATGAGATGGTGCAAGCACTGTGCATGCACCACATGGGCTGCTGCAAGCACCATGCCCATGAGATGGTGTAAGCACCATGCATGCGCCATGTGGCTTGATTCAAGATCCTGCCCCACATGGTTGATACAAGCTCCATTCTCCTTAAAGCCTGGTGCAAGCACCATGCATACCCCATATAGGCTGGTGCAAGGACCATACATATTTAGTATGGATGATGCACGCAACATGCATGCCCGATATGGGCTATTGCAAGCACCATGCCTGCCCCATATGGCTTCATTAAAGATCCTGTCCCACATGGTTGGTAGAAGCTCCATTCAACGTAAAGGCTGATACAAGCAACATGCATGCCCCATAGGGCTGCTGCAAGCACCATGCATACCCCACATGGACTGGTGCAAGCACCATAAATGCTCCATATGGGTCGGTGCATACCCCATTGGGAAGGTGCAAGCGCCATACATGCTGCAACTGAAGTCGCCGTCTTCGCTTCCTCCTCGCCGAGTTCCAACTCGTTAATGCCGGGACGCCGACTGTCCTTAACGTGGACAACCAGTTGACCATTGCATTCGCAAGACCCTTGGGGCTGAAAGGCAACCTCAAGAACATGGAGCGACACTACGTCTGGCCGCGGTAGATGGTGAAGCGCAAGAAGCTTGCGCTGCCGTACAATGCGACAAACGAGAAGCAGGCGGATTTCCTCACGAAGGCGCTACATTTTCCGGCATTCAGCCAGTGCTTCATCACCATGAGGCAAGTCAGCCTTGCCGACGTCGACACGGGCGACGTGCAGAAGTAGGTGTCATGTCCTTCAATATGGCTGGTGCGGTGAGCGGCGTGCTGTGTTTTCTCGCCCTGTATTATATTACGTATGTTCTTTTGTGTGGACCTTGCTGTGTGTGTGTGCCCAAGCTTGAGCTGGGCATGGGAGTGTTGACGAGAAAGGTCCCGCTTGGGCGAAGTCGGCATCACTATAAGGTGTGCAAATGTGTGCAATAGGTTGTGTTTCATGGTCGAGTGCGATTTCGGGGAAATGCTATTGAAGGCCGACGAAGCGCCTACCGACAAAATTAACTCGTCGACATCGGCAGAATTTCGAGGCAACGATAACAAAAGCCGACGAGGCACTGGCCAACCAAATTAAGTCGGCGGCTGCGCCGAGTCTCGCCGGTCGACGAAAGCAATCACCGTCGGGGTGCCGATCGACGGAATTCATGCCGTCGGCGGCGTCGACTAAGCGGCGTCTTTCTGGTCGACCAAATTATTGGTCGGCAAAATTCTGCATGAGCGGAAATAGCATCACGTGCTCTACCACCTGGCACCTGCACAATGTGCATCACGTGCACGACGTGCACGCAGTTGTCTGCAATGCAGACCTGCACCTACTTTGGTAGGTGATTCCCATGTGCGAGGAGTTCATATGCCGATGCGGCATTAGCAAGCTGCCTTTTTGCATCGTTGGCATGCCGTCTTTGTCAAACTATATGTTTGTATCTTATGTACATAATCATATATACAAATAGTGATAGGCTAGACTAGGGTTATTTTTTAGTGAGGATAACACTTGTTATTGTGTATGTGAGGATCTAGGATCGAGCTCAGAAAAGTGGGTTTGAATTGAATGATTCACCTGGGTACAACACGAGGCTATATATAGGCTCGACACAAGGCAGGTAACCCAGGTGTTACGCGAATGTTCTGAGGTTCGCGAAGCGTCCCGAACAGAACCTTCCCAAACTCGGTAGAAAGCAATTCGGTGGGAACCGAAAGGCTTGAGTTCGGTACACGTAACCTGGTTCGGTGCTATAACTATAATAACATATAGGAATGCACCTAGCCTAGGAAATCAAGCATATCTATGCATGAAAAATAAAACCCAAGCTAGTAATAGCATAATCAAGTCCAGGCAAGCTAGCAAATCCAGCATAAGCCGTCGTACTCTCACACGTCCCCCCCTCAAAGCTGGGTGGCGTGAGATACACCCTGCTTGACAAGATAGTCCTTGAGAGCACGGCGTGCGTTGCCCATATCAGCTTCTGCAACCCAATTGTCCTCTGTGGGGTCATAACCCTTCCAGCGTATCAGGAACTCGAGGGTCTTGCCACCGCGGCGCGGATGAGTGAGAATGCGCTCCACTTCATACTCTGGTTCCTCTTGTATGAGAACAGGTGGTGGTGGCGGTAGCTGCCGTCCCTGGAAATGTTGGTTGGGGTCCTTGTAGGGCTTCAGTAGCTGAACATGGAAAGCGTTGTGAAGCTTCCACGTAGTAGGTAAGCGCAAGCGAAATGTTACTGGTGTCACCTATGCCTCAACGTGAAAAGGACCACAGAAGCGAGGCCGGAGCTTGGATGGTAGGTGAGACAGGTTCAAGTTGCGCGTGTCGAGAAGCATCTGATCTCCGACTGCTACTGAGTGATCACGTCGCTGGCGATCGGCATACTGCTTCTGGGAGGTCTGCATCGTGATGAGACGTCGCTGGATCTTCTCCCATAGCTGCTGCATGGTGGTGACGAAGTCATGTGTGGCTTGGATGTGGGCCGGTGTGGTCGGCTGCTGTGGTGTGAGTGGTTCCCGTCCGTAGCACAGGAAGAAAGGAGATTTCCCTGTGGCTGCATGTGACGCGTTGTTGTAAGCGAACTCTAGGGTCGGTAACTGTGTGTCCCAGTGGCTGACATCGTCTTTGCAAGCTGTGCGCAGTAACTGTTCAACCACCTGATTGAGTCGCTCTGTCTGTCCGTCAGTCTGTAGGTGGTATGCTGAGGACATCGCAAGTTTAGTCCCCAATAATCCCATGAGCTCCTTCTTGAACATACTCGTGAATTTGGGGTCTCTGTCTCAGATGAGTGTAGCGGGGATGCCGTGGATGGTGATGATGCGGTCAAAGAAGAGGCGAGCAGTTGCTTCAGCTGTAGCCGTGGTGTTGGTCGGGATGAAGTGACCCATTTTAGAGAACTTGTCGATCACCACGAGTATAGCGTCATGCCCTCGTGAGGTTGAAGGAAGTCCCGTGATGAAGTCGAGGCTAACGACCTGCCATGGCTGCTCCGGTACGGGTAGAGGCTGAAGTAACCCTGCTTTTTTCTGCTTGCTACTCTTCATCCGCTGGCACGTGTCGCATAAGGTGACGAACTGCGGCACGTCTGCTGCCATCCCGGGCCAGTAGTAATACTTTGCTATCCCTGCTAACGTCTTGTTGCTCCCGAAATGTCCTGCGTATGGTACGTCGTGAAACTCCTCCAGTAGGATATGCCGTAGGGGGGCATAGTTCGGTACCCAAATCTTTCATGAACCCTTCCTTACAGCTAAGTCTTTCTCCCACTGTAACAACTTCTGTTTCTCTGCTGTAGCGATCTCTGCGTCCACGGAGTATCCATGTTGGAATAGACCCTTGAGCAGAGGGCTCATCCCGTCGAGCTGGATGCCTGCTACATGACCGGGGCGGCTCAACGCGTCTGCTTTGTTGTGTAGCCCGGGCTTGTAGACGATGTCGTAGTGGAAGTGAGTTTCCAGGAAGTCCACACACCGCACCTGTCGTCGTGAGAGCGTCGGCTACGACTTCAGGTATTTGAGACTGCAGTGGTCAGTATAGACTGTAGTCTTGGCTCCCTCTAGGTAACACCTCCACGCCTTGAAGGCTATGACTATCGCTAAGGCTTCCTTGTCATGGATGGGGTAGTTCAGTTCTTCTCCGTGTAATTTCTTAATGGGGTAGGCGATGGGCTGCAAACTGCGTCCGTGATCCTGCATCAGTACTGCTCCGACTGCTTGGTCACTAGCATCTGCTT